CCCCAAAACCCCAAAACCCCAAAACCCCAAAACCCCTCTATACTATCTACTTTGAAATTCTACTGATTAATTAATATAAATAATTAAGCAAGAAATTCATCTATTCATTTTCAAAAGAGTACCCTATTTCTAGATTGTTACTAAATTCAAGTAGGTATCTTACTTTTATTAGGATGAACATTAATTAATAACATGCTTCAAATCATTTTTGTGTTAGCTAGATAAATCAAGTTTTATGGTCGGCTGAGTCAAATTTTTGAAGTAGTTAAGCTTCAGATGATTTTACATCAAACTCGAATAAAATTTTAGTTGTTTTTGAACTTTTGGAGGAAGGCGTATTTTAGTTCTCAATCTCTATTTTCAAGCTTCCGCCATGCCTTTCTGAATGATATTTATGGTAAATGTCATTCTAGTTTAATTAGCCTCTACCGCAACACATTTGCATACAATTTCTTATGTATCCTAAGAAGCCCTAATTTCTTCTTACGTTAAAACCTATTGGAGAGTCAAGAGGGTGTATTCTAGAAACTTGAGAACTAGATTTGAAATTTCCAATCGTCTCTTGATCTTAAAAATTTGCAGCGGATTCTGTTCTTTTTTTCTCTTTTATATCTGGGAATGCAAGTTCTTACTCTTCATCTGACTCTCTCATATTTGCTATATCTGCTATTGCCTAATCATTTGCAGTTGCTCTTTTGAATCTACTGAATCTTTTGTTTGTTGTTTGATTATATAGGAAGTTTTAAGTTTAGATAACCATCAAGAAACTTAATGGAATCAGAAAGAAAGTAGCCATTGATATACTCAAAATTAGCGATATCTAGAAGCTAATTTAAACTTAAGTCTTGTTATGAAAAACTGAAGGTATAAGAGAGTCCTATGATTGGGAAGCAATAAATGCTTCGTTAAACTCAGTATCAATATCTAAATGTCATAAATTAACTTTAATTGTAATTACATATCATGCCAATGATGTCTATGATGATCATGTAAACTTCTAGGCATAAAATGTACAAGTAGAAATAGGAATGATTTCTATAAAAATAATTAGGTCTAATATAAAATCTACCTGATTCCTACACAATTGTTGATCCATTAGCAATGATGATCGAATCTCTCTACACACTTATTACAAATATAGCAGTGTCTAGACTCTGAGGTACAGATTACCTCACAAGTAGGACATAACATATTTGGATCAAATTTTTCAACTAGTTTTAAAAAGCTAACTTTTGGTGATTTTTATAGGTAACCTGGATTAGTCCTCCATGTTAAGACAAAGAAGAGATTTGTTAAGGCAAAGAATGACAAACATGATATCACCCATTCATTCGAGGGAATGTCTAAAATATTTCAGCTGAATTATAAATACAAGGAAAGACATTGATTATAAGAGCTGAGAAAGTTGAAATCATCAGGAAAACATAGAAAAGGAGTGTCTTATAATGTCTTTCTAACTTTTATAATGGTTGTTTAACATGACTCATGTTGCAATTAGTTTTTTGTTTAGCCTACATAAATGTAAACAAGATAAATAAAATTACCATAAGTTAAAATAATTCTCTTGATAATTGCTCATTTAAAATATCCTTTGTAAAATCCTAAGGTGTCTTGCCTTAATTATCTTTTGCTTATCTGTTACCTCCCTTAATTAGTAATTCCTTGATTGCTCTAGTATTTGGAAAAGATTCTGCTGATTTTATTGCTAAATGAAGTGCTGTGTTTCCAAGATTATCTCTAGCATTAACATCTACACCCCATGCTAAAAGATAGTAAATTGCAGTATCAGATCCTGCGAAGCATGCCCAATGAAGAGGAGTCGATTGTTCTCCATCAGTCTCAGTGAGAGGAACATTCTTACTCTTAAAAAAAGTTAGTGAAAAAGCTTAATCACCTTAAGCTGCTACATGCATCATATTAATTCCTTATTTATTTCTCGCATATTCATTTGCACCACACTTAACCAAGAACTTAATCAGTCTTACATTCCCATGAAAGGAAGCAAAATGAAGAGGGAAAAATCCTTCATCTCCTCTAGTCGGAAGATTCACCCAATCTTTAATCGTATCTTTAACTCTTCTTTTAATAGACTATGCAGCATTATGATCAAGTGATAGATTTGATTGATTTGAGGAGTTGAGATTACTATATCTCTGAAGATGCTTTTGCTTTAGATATTTTACTAGTCGTTCCCTGAAATAATTCACTAGAAATTCAGCTATTCTGAAAGTATTATAATAAGCTGCTGCATGCAGAACACTGTAACCATTTTCATCTTGAAGATTAACTATTTCCAAGCTCTTTCTCAGTTCTAAACCATTTAGCAAGTTTCTTAGCTTCTCTAGAGACAACTTATTTATATATTGAAAAATAAGCTTTGCATCCTATTAATCATTAGCTGACTAATTACTGCTAAAAGAAGAGTCTACACGATTATTCCTATTGCTGCCCATCTATTGATAAAGCATTCCTGTGTTTGATATATGCTGCGATCGAGAAAATTAGTTTTGGTTCGATTAAAGGGAATCCTCTCGTAATAAAAGATTACTAGACTTAAATGACGCTATTTATTCAGATGCCTCTTATGTTGAAAGGTGAGATATATGCATAGAGATTCCTCCTATCTAGTTTTTTAAATGATTAACTCCTCCCTTATTCTAATCGGACTTGCCCATACTTTTTCTATTACTTTACTCAATCGTCCTAGATTTCAATGTTTCAATAAGCTTTAACTCTTCCTAGAGCAGATTTGCATCTAAATTTATATTATAGCATAGTGAAATTGTTACCCAAATCTTCCATTCTCAAAATAAATATGATAATTATAATTATGAAATCTGATTAGTATTCTAAAAATTTTACTCATTTATATCCAATTATATATAATTCCTAATGGGGTTTTGGGGTTTTGGGGTTTTGGGTTTTTGGGG